AAGAATCTGACACTATTGGTCACTATGCCCTTTATTCTAAATTAATCTTATTTTTATCAAATTAATACATGCATATAGTTTTCAAAAGCAAAACAGTACTATTAATAAAAGGCTTATAATCAAATCCAGTGTTTCCTCCCCTATCCCTCCAAGCTCCCTCATTCTCTTTCCCCACTTCCCCTAGTCCTTTTCCTACTTCCTTTTTTTTTGATGCTGATGGCTATATATTCTTCCCATTCCTGTATTCACCTCCCTTTGTAATGTGGCTGTACACCTTCCACCATTAAGAGGTAAGAGAGGTAAGAGTCTAGTTTTTCATCCCTTGAACCTGGGCTTAGACAGGTTTGGCCAATGGAACTTTAGCAAAGCAAAACAAGTGCTTGAAAAGGGCTAGTATGTTGGGCTTGCCTTTTCATGGTCCTCTTGCAAACCCTGCAACCACTCTTATGAAAGAGCCTGGTCCAGCCTGCCAGAGGATGAAACACACATTGATAATAAACACTCATTGCCATCACCCCAGTTGACACAGAACCAACCACCAGACATATAAGAATGTTCTAGATTACCCAGCTTCAGCTATTAATAAGTTCACTGGCTGACAACAGTTCAGCTGAAATGGCCGAAACCAGAAGAAATGCCCAGTTTAGTGTCCACAGAATTATAAGAAATAAGAACTGCTTTTTGTTTGAACCACTAAATTTTGTGGTAGTTTGTTACACAGCATATGCTGACTGATACAATGCTTTCAGTATTTTTTCCCTGGCATATACACAGTTCCATATTTTTAAACAATAGACATTTATGTTGTATTTTCATCAATCAACTTTTTTCCTTTTTAGTTGACATGTGATAATTGCACATATTTATGGAATACAGAGTCATATTTTGATACATGTATGCAATAGGTAAGGATCAAATCAGGGAAGCTAGCATTTCCATCACCTCAAACGTTTATCGTTTCTTTGTGTTGTGAACATTCAAAATCCGCTCTTCTAGCTTTTTGAAAATAGACACTAAATTGTTGTTAACCATATTCAGTCCACAGTGCCATAGAATGCTAGAACTTATTGATCTTACCTAGCTGTACAGTACTTTTCTGTCTGTTAACTGGCCTGTCTCTACCCTCCTCTCCCTCCTACCCTTTCCAACATCTGATAACCTCTATTCTACACTCGACTTCCGTGAGCTCAATTTTTTTTTAGCTTCCACATATGAATAAGAACACGTGGTATTTATCTTTCTGTGCCTGATTTATCTCGCTTAAAATAATGTCCTCTAGGCTCATCAAATGACAGGATTTCATTCTTTTTTATGGCTAAATAGCATTCCATTGTGTATATGTACCACATTTTCTTCATCCATTCATCTCTTAATGGACATTTATGTTGATTCTATATCTTAGCTATTGTCAATAGAGCTGAAATAAACATGGGGGTACAGGTATCTCCTCAATATGCTAATTTCCTTTCCTTTGGATAAATACCCAATAGTGGGATTACTGGGTCATATGATAGTTCTATTTTTAGATTTTTGGGAAACTGCCATACTATTTTCCATAATACTATAAAACAAATTTGACATTATCTTGGCCTCCATTGTAGTGGATGAAGATTGATCACTCTTTCACTGTCATCTGAACCCTTCTCCTCCCAGGCCCTCTCAAAAATAATATTTAATGTTGAAATATTCCAATATTCAGTATTTATTTGATTATGCCTATGTAGTTATTATTCACAGCTAAACATTATGGGATACTCTGATTACATTTCTTTTTCAATTTTTTGCTTTTCTTGCACTTATAATAATTGCCTTGCTGGCCAGGTGCAGTGGCTCATGCCTGTAATCCTAGAACTCTGGGAGGCCGAGGCAGGTGGATTGCTCGAGATCAGGAGTTCGAAACCAGCCTGAGCAAGAGCAAGACCCCATCTCTACTATACATAGAAAGACATTAATTGGCCAACTAATATATATAGAAAAAATTGCCGGGCAATTGGTGGCGCATGCCTGTAGTCCCAGCTACTTGGGAGGCTGAGGCACGAAGGAATGCTTAAGCCCAGGGTTTGGGTTGCTGTGAGCTAGGCTTATGCCACGGTACTCACTCCTAGCCTGGGCAACAAAGTGAGACTCTGTCTCAAAATATATATGTATATACAAATAATAATAATAATAATTGCCTTGCTTATGCATTTGTTTAGTTTTCTTTGTGCATGCTTGCTAAGTTTTGTCACACTTTTCTAATGCCTTTCATTACAACTTTTTGCCAGATCTTTCCCATTAGGTAATCCATTAGTTCTGATTTTTTTCTTGCTGCTTTACCTCCTGTATACCTTCATTCTCTTCTTTCTAGGCCTACAGTTGTCATCCTGAGACTTCCTTTTCCTATCATCCTACATAATTCCCTTGTCTCCTAAGTTTGATTCCCCATTTTCTGGTTCTCATGCCTTCCTCTTGATATTCTCCTTTGTTTTGGTGGAGTACATCCTCAAGTAGCTTTGTCAGGATAAAAACCCTGATGAATTACAGAAGGCAGAAATGATGATAACACTCAACATGTTTTTCTCTTGAGTCAGTGCTCCAATCTGGAGTGGCTGACTTCTACACCTAATGCACAATTTTCATACTGGAGATCTCTCTCTCTTTTTTTTTTTTTTTTTTTGAGACAGAGTCTCACTTTGTGCCCAGGCTAGAGTGAGTGCCGTGGCTCAGCCTGGCTCACAGCAACCTCATCTCCTGGGCTCAGCGATCCTATGCTCAGCTCCCGAGTAGCTGGGACTACAGGCATGCGCCACCATGCCGGCTAATTTTTGTATATATTTTAGTTGGTCAATTAATTCTTTCTATTTTGGTTAGACGAGGTCTCGCTCAGGCTGGTTTCGAACTCCTGACCCTTGAGTGATCACCGCTCGGCCTCCAAGTTAGATTACAGGCGTGAGCCTGCGCCCGGCCTGGATCTCTCTTTATCATCCTCTGGAGCCTTCATCCACATCTCACGTGGTTGGATCTCCTGTTTTCTGCATTCCACATCTTCCTTGTTTATGGCTTCCTTTCATTTTGATGGAACATATCTTCTGATGATTGAGAAAAAGATATATAGAAAGCACACAATTAGTTTTGCGAGTCTGTCACTTAGAATGAGTTGATTCTCTGCTTTTGTCCACTCTCAGTTTAGGCTTTTACTCTCAGGACTCTGCTAAATTAGTTACCACTGGTTCATCTACTTTTCAATGTGCTTCTTCCTTGCTGCGTCCAAAGCGATCTTTCCAAAACAAGCAAAAAAAAAAAAAAAAAATTATGATCACAACATCACTCCCCGGCTTAAAATTCTTTAATGGGTCCCTTCAGTTACTTTGTGTCTCAGTCCATTTAGTGTTGCAATAAAGGAATACCTGAAGCTTGGTAATTTATAAAGAAAAGAGGTTTATTTGGCTCATGATTCTTCAGGCTATATAAGAAGCATGGTACTGGCATCTGCTTGGCTTCTGGTGAGGGCCTCAGCCTGCTCCTACTCATGGTGGAAGGTGAAGGGGAGTTGGCATGTGAAGAGATCACATGGTGAGACAGGAAGCCAGAGAGGGAGGGCAGGTGCCAGGCTCTTTTTACAACTAGCTTTTGTGGGAACTAATAGAGTCAGAACCTACTCACCCCCCTCACTCATGGAGGGCACTAATCTGTTCATGAGGGATCAATTCCCATGACTCAAACACTTCCCAGTAAGCCCTAACTCCAGCATTGGGATCAAATTTCAACATGAGGTTTGCAGGACAAACACCCAACTATAGTACATGGTAATGTCAACTCCAGGAATTCAGAAGTCTTATTTGCTTCCTTCCTCCTCCTTCATATTCTTCTTTAGGTGGTGAAGGTGCACGATAGCTGAGCTACTATAACACCAGGATTATAATCTGGGCCCTCTTGGATTAGAGGTGCTGGATAGTCTCTGTTGGCCTTTCCAGATCTGCTCTCCACCCTTCCTCAATCCCCAGGAGGCTGACTTCTAATGACCCTGGCAAGTTCTCTTCTCTCTGCAGATCCTTTTCTCATATTTTTAGACTTTTCTCTGAGAATAGATGCTTAGAAATAGCATTACATATTATCCCTCATCTAAATTGGGGCCATAAATGTTTCATATTTTGGATATTTTTGGATTTTGAAATATTTGCATATACATGAGATAACCTTGAGGATGGGACCCAAGTCTAAACATGAAATCCACTTATATTTCACACACATGTACCCTGAAGGTAATTTTATACAATATTTTTAACAATTTTACACACAGAACCATCATAAAGCACAGGTGTCAGGTGTGGAATTTTCTACCTCTGGAAATTTCAGATTTTGGAGCATTTAAGATTTCAGATTTTTGGATTAGGAATGCTTAACCTGTACTATTTTAGATAATGTGAATTTGTCATGGCTCTTAATAGGTATCATCAAAGCATTTTCCAAAATGGTTGTACCAATTCACAATTTCACCAGCTATATATAAAATTATCCATTTTGTGATAACCTCACCAGAACAGGATATTATCTTTTCTTTTTAAAATTATATTCATTTAATAAAATGAATGAAATCATTTTTCATTTATATTTATTTCTTTGAATTATTTTCTCCTGTTTCTTGGGAAGTTTTGTTCCTGGTTGTGATTTGTCATTTTTCTTAAGAATTCGTGTGATATTTTTAGATAATAAACATATCATTCAATTTGATGGTGATTAATCTTCACTGTTGTTTGCCTTTATTTCTTTTTCTTTTTCTTCTCCTTCCCCTTCTTCTTCTCCTTCAGTGCTGTTTCTTATTCTAAAGCTCAATTTTTTGATGGGGGGAAGAAGCAAACTGATTTATAACATAGTATAATGTTCTACTGATTTCTGCTAATAAACTTCTCTGTCAAGCAAGAAAAGTTCAAGATTTCTTTTTCTCTGTTAAGCTTCTTTCAGGGATATAATAAATTCATACTATTCACATTAACTTACAAGGAAATAACAATTTTATTGGAACACAGGCTTTAGGCAAGCAGCTAAATTATATCTGTAAAGATGGTTGTAATTTATGAAATCCAGCCATGTATGTAGGATTGTGTTGCCTCGAGGACTCCATCCTGTGTGATTAAAAGGCAAACATTTCAAGAAAACCATAAAGGGTGCCAAGCTTGACTTTTAAAAAATCTACATGACAGCAAGAATTTATAAAGAGCCATTTGAAGAGATGTTTAGGGATGTCATTTGAACATATGAAAAGGGGACCTTTTTAAAATATTTCAGTCAAACATTAAAGAATAGCACCTGGATTCTATTTTATTTAGGAGCATTTTTTTTAACCCAAACTATTTGTGCCTCATGAATGGGGAGGTGGAATGGGAGTGGAGGGAGAAACAGACTACTTGAATATTCTATCAGTATTTTCCAGATGCCTCACAACTGATGAGACAGTATAATGAGGAGTTTCATAGGGCTTTAAATTGATTTTTCACAAATCCTTTCATTTCTTGGAAGTCATGAAAACACTATTATAGATTCACTCATCTGCCATAAATGTGTTTTTTACCCATTGGACTTTCCTTGGTAGAAGTTTTTAAAAATTATCTTCTCCAAGAATGCTATGATTAAATTTGATAAAAAAGGATAACATACAAAAACACATTTTAACCATAAACTATAGTGTGGAAGGTCAAATTAAAATAGCATGCAATGAACAATGAAACAGTATCAGTTGGGGTGAGAATAGCAATGGGTAGAGATAGGCTTATAAAAATCTATAGGAAAGCTTACACTAGACTTAAGAAATCTTTTTTAAGACACTGATATAATTTAAACAGTCTATCCAGAGCTAGTTAGATCCCTACCACACACCACTTAAATTCCAAATGAACTGTAGCTAATACTGAGTGCTCACTATATAGTAAGCACTGTTGAAAGGCTTAATATGAGACTGAAGGTGAGGAGTGAGACCTGGACTGGTGATATTTATGGAAGAATCATCTTGCAAATAAGTGACAATTGGGAGAAGGTAACATGCCAAAAGAAAGGAGCCTTATACTGAGCCCTGAAAAACACCAATATTTAAGGGATGGACAGCAGAAGAGAGAATTGCAAAGCAGAATGAGAAGGAGCTGCCAGAGAAGTACATGGACAAACAGAGTGGGTGGTTAATCAGAAGCTGGGAAAGAATGTCTAGCTCTAAGGAATAGTTGACATATAGATGCTGTACGTGGTGGGGTGAAGACTGAAAATTCTCACTGACATTTCCCACTTTATTTATTTATTTATTTTTTTGAGATAGAGTCTTGCTTTGTTGCCCAGGTTAGAGTGAGTGCCATGGCGTCAGCCTAGCTCACAGCAACCTCAAACTCCTGGGCTCAAGCAATCCTGCTGCCTCAGCCTCCCGAGTAGCTGGGACTACAGGCATGTGCCACCATGCCCTGCTAATTTTTTCTATATATTTTTAGTTGTCTAGATAATTTTTGTTTTTAGTAGAGACGGGGTTTCGCTCTTGCTCAGGCTGGTTTTGAACTCCTGACCTTGAGCAATCTGCCTGCCTTGGCCTCCCAGAGTGCTAGGATTACAGGCGTGAGCCACCGCACCTGGTCCATTTTCCCCTTTAGCTCACACAAACTCCAGGGAAGGTATAATATCTGTCTTTTTCATCCTTGTAACCTCATCTCATGAAATATTATAGACCTCAATAAAAATGTGCTGAAGTAATGCAAACAGACGAGCATTTAGTTAAAAGAGAAAAAACAGATTCAACTATGTTAGCTGAAGAGCTTTAAACTCACCCTAATTTCTTTCGTGTGTGTGTGTTTTTCCAAGTTAGTTTCTCCTAAAAATATTTACTTTCTCCTCCACAAAAAAGGACAGACTGTATTGCTAATAGTACCTTACAATCTTCTCCAAAAATATGGTCTGTATATTACATCAAAATTATCTAAACAAAACTCTGTAATCATATTTACCCCCCTCTAATCCAGTTAAGTATGCTTCCTAGTAATTCACACTTCCCTGGCCCCATGCCTGAGGTAGTCTCAGTACAGCGAAAGTAGAACTTAAGAACTGATCTGACGCAATGTTAGGTATACCTGATTTAGAATTGACTTTGGTTTTTAGAGAAATCAGATAATTTTCCCCATCTTACTTTTTTTATTCTTTTTTATTGTATTGTATATATTTTTGTCTACCATGTTTTATATCAAGACAGTAACAGTGCTACACATTAGAATCACCTGGAGAGCTTTTAAAAATTCCAAAGTCCATACCCATACCAATTAAATTAGAATGTCTGGGGATAGTAACCAGGCATCAGTGGTTATTGAAGATCCTCAGGTGATTCCAATTGCAGCAAAGTGGACACCATTGGCACAGTAGGTTTTAATCTCAGTTCTGACACTAGCCTTGTAATCCTGGACGTGTAATTAATTTCTTTGTGGCATTAACTAATATAAAAGTACTACCTCACACAGTTGTGAGGATGAAATGATTAAAAATAAAGCGATTGGATCAGTGCCTAGGACACACTAAGGGCTATGTAATTGTTGGGTGCTTGGGGGAGTTTAGTATAATCTACTCCCTGTATAAGTGGAGAAATGTCATAATGCATTATGAGTTAAATTGCCATATCTCATCCTTTAGTGTGGCCTGGATATCTCCTCCCAGACATAGTTTGTAGGGTCAATGTCCAAGATTTACTCATTAATTAATGAGGGAACCAGTAAGACGTCAGAACCAGTCCTAAGGAGAATTTAAAGCACCCACTTATACTGTTGAATCAGGAATGGGGAATGAACTTACAAAACGATGCAAAATGGCTTTTTCCCAGGAGGGATAAGGTTCAATATGAAGTCCAGGGCAGCAGACCACAGAGTTGTATAGACCACCACAAAGGTGGGGAGCTCCCATAGCAGCAGAATACCCGGAAAGGTGTGCCAGACTATGGTTGCTTTTTCACTGAAGACACCCCGGAACCATTTGCTCCATTTCAATGTGTTTCACAATTTTTCCCTACAAAAATCACTCTTAGTATGCGTAAAAACCTAGCTACTAAGCAGTTCCTCTACTTTATCTTGCTTTCATTTTCCTTAACCCTTTCGCCTCTGGCAGGGTCAGATGGCATATCTCAGCACCCACAAAGCAGGCTTTAGAGGGAGGAAGGGTGGAAATCTAATCGTTTCCCCTGGGGAGCCACCAATTTCCGCCACAGGGCCCAGGACAGCTCCAGCAGGGTAAGCCCTGCCCCTCCACAAGGCACCGCCCCGGCCTGCCCAATAATCGAGCTGCGCACAAAGGTCACGTGAGCAGCCCGTGACGCCTCCGAAGCAGTACGTGGCAAAGACATCGCTCAGAAAAGTCCCTCGTACCCGCTGCCTGCCTGCCACTCCACCTCGTTTCTCTCCTTCCCATTAAATGTCTCTATATTTTGCCGATTTTATCTCGAGGATGGTGAACTTCCCGGCCCTCCTCATCCCAAACCACCCTAGGCCCATGAGCCAGCCCTTGACCTCAAATCATAGGTGGAGACCGAACAGCGTTTAGGCGAATTGCACTTCTGATTGGGTCTGAGGGCTTGTCAATCGCCAAGATTTTCCAATCAGGAGCCAGGTCCGTCCCGCTTTCCGTTCTCCATTGGCGTGTGTAGAGGAAGGGAGGGGCAAGCCGAAGTCTCGCGAGAGCAGAGCTCGGCGCTCAGTGCGCAGTTGCGAAGGAGCTGGCAGAGCCCGGGCTGGGGGCGGGCTTGAAGGTTTGGTTTTGGGGGCCGTGACAGAGCTGTCTGGGTTCGACCGCTAGGCGGAAAGCGTTTGCGAAGTGCCAGGCCACGAAGGAGGCCTGCGAGATTCCCAATGGTATCAATGACTTTCAAGCGGAGCCGCAGCGACCGGTTCTACAGCACCCGGTGCTGCGGCTGTTGCCATGTCCGCACCGGGACGATCATCCTGGGGACCTGGTACATGGTAAGGGCCGGAGCGGGTAGTGCGCATGTGCGGGAAGTCGGGGAGCCCGGTTTGATATTGGGGAGGACTGAAAATGGGGTGCTGGGGGGGCGGGGACATGGAGTGGCGCATCTTTTTTAGGGCGCTGTAGCTCTGGAGGATGTCAGGGACTTTGAGGAAGGAGATTTGTTCAGGAACCGAAGTCGGGTGTGGGCAAGAATGGGAAGATTGTTCTTTGGCAAGAATTTGGAGAGAAAAGCGGGCTTGGGTGAGGCGAGGCGTTGTGAACGAAGGGACCGAGGGTACTAGGATTTGGTGGAAATTTCTGGCAATTACCCAGTTTTGGCTCATTTTGTATTTCTGCGTTCTGAAAGACTGCCTCTCCCTTCCTCCCAGCGGTGCTCCCTGGAATTTTTTCCTCTAACGAAACAATTAGGAGCGGACCTTGATAAATGGCAGCCTAGTTTCGACATTGTCTTTCTTGATGGGAAAGCGAAAGATCCAGCTGTAACCCAGTTGCTGTGTTTCCTGGATCTGGTTTTGTTACGTGTTTATGTTGTAGTAGGCGGAAAGGCCTCTGTTGGGAGTCTAAAGATTCGCTTGAGGGCAATACCAATTGCCAGGATTTACATTTGATCAGCTTTTTCCCTGGTGCAACCCCCTCCCTGCCCATTAGATGCTTTTTGTATGAGACCCGCTCTGTTTTTTAAGAGACCTTTGTAGAGGACCTACTCTATTCTGGCCACATATGCTGGTATTTCCTGGGCTCCAGATCTGTGTGATTTACAAAACTAAGTTGGTTCACTAGTAACCAATAGTACTTTGGTGATTTTTTTTTTCCTAACCACCATTTCCAGTATACGTACACATTGAAGCTGATTTGTGGCTTCTAAATATGTGATTCTGTTTAGTAGGTTTAGGTTATTATGACTTTTACTGAAGCTGTGATAAACCCCATATATTGTTGATTTGGCTACTTTCTCTAATGACCTTCTGATTGTGTGTGTGTGTGTGTGTATGGGAGTGACATTAGTGATATTGTGCAATTTCTGGTACTTAAGTGAACTGCAAAAGAGAGGAGAGGTTTATCTCAGACACTCTTTCCTTTCTTTGCATTTGTTACTTCCCCACCCCGTGTCTTGAAGTCATTAGTAACCATTTGGACAAACTCCAGATGAGAACCATCTTAAGTGACGCAGATAGTGTTTCATGGCCGACCCCCAGGGAACCACCTGATCCCCACATTATTCCTGATTACCTTGTTGTTTTTTACAGTCTCACTTTTTTGATGTACTTTTTAAAACAGCAAAACCTGAATGTGAGTTTGTTTGTTGGTCCTGAGTTTATTTTCATTTTCCTATACTTTCATATTCAGAAATGTCATCGTATTGGTATAATTATATCATGTTTTCCCTCAGAAACTCTTCTCTGTTCTATATTTTAACTAATCGTAAAACTGGACTTTGTTTAGTTAATGACTATAAGCTACATTTAACTTTGTTTGATTTCAGCTACATTTTACAAAAGGGCTGGGTTTTAATGTCTTTTGTTTATCCTTAGCTCTGTCTGCCATTCCCCTAAATGAATAATTCAAATCTTTAAGGTTCTTGGAACCTCTTAATCAACCCTGCCTTCTTCACCCCCAGAAGAAGGCCCTCCCTCCTACTTAGAAAAGAAGAGTCCATAAGCCTGGCATTCTTTCCTGCAAACTTCCTGTTTCTTCTTAGAGCCTTCCCTCCTTTCACTGAACAAAGGATTTCTAACTCCTGGAGAAGAAAATAACCACCGTTCCTATTTCAGCCATCCAAATGTAGTTGGCTGCATTCCTTTCCAGTCTCTCCCAGGCAGATTTTTTTATACTGTGGGATCAGCTTGAAAATGAAAAGAATAGCAGGATAAAGTGGGAATTATAAACAGGAAACTCAAAACACAGAGAAAACTACAGTGTGGACATTCTTACAAAATAGGGAGTAAGGAGTTTACATCTGTTTCCCACTTGACGCACTTCATGCGAACATGGTTCACGTATCTCTCTGAAGTCCCTGCTTTAGTTTCATAATTTTAAAAAGATGCCATAGCTGTTGAATTGCATGGACTTTTCAGGTTAATGTAGAACATTATAAGCTGCTTAAACAATCAATCTGTCTTAAGTCAATTTAGAGATTTATTGACCATCCACAGTGTGAAAGACTTTGGTGGACATACAAAAGGAGTAAATCACAGGAGCCGTGTGTCATTTGTCTTCAATGACAAATGACAGAAATGTCTTTTCTGCATTCCTGTTACCTGCCACTTGGCAGACTCAAATGTTCCTTGTATTACGAAGAACTTTGGGACACAGATGTAAAAATGACAGTGACAAGGGAGAAGGACAAGGTGATCAGTAATATCAGTTTAAGTACTAGGAAAAGACCATTGGTTTTGTTTATTACAACATTACTGGAGGCTTTCAAAGTCTAGCTTCAATTCAATGGCACTATAAAGACACGATTTCTTCCTAATTGAGGAGACATGTAACACTAAGAAAACAAGACCGCCTAAACCAAAATGTAGTATAATACCTTTTAACAAAGAAGACTTGCCCAAACTGCATTTTGTTGCCAGAAGCTTCTTTAGTTAGAGAAATAACATGGGGTGAGTAAGGTAGAATGGCACTTCCCTCCCTAACTACTTGTCAGGGTTCTTTCTTCCTTGATTCCTGGTGAGGCAATACTTCTCTGTGTGGGAAAACACTTATGGTTCTCTTTAGGTTACCTGGGCCAGTCTTCTGACATTATGATTCCCCCTGTGGTGTTTGGAACTTGGAGGTTCAGCTCTCCTTCCTGGGCCCAGACACTGTCAGTGACTGTATCTGATACAGTGTCATTGCTTTCTATCCATTGCTTGTACTGGTCTTGTGTTAAGATGATTGTAACAGTTTACTAAAATATTAAATGTATGGGGGTTTTTTTGTTTGTTTTTTGTTTTTGAGACAGAGTCTCACTTTGTTGCCCAGGCTAGAGTGACTGCCATGGCGTCAGCCTAGCTCACAGCAACCTCAAACTCTTGGGCTCAAGCAATCCTTCTGCCTCAGCCTCCCGAGTAGCTGGGACTACAGGCATGTGCCACCATGCCTGGCTAATTTTTTTTCTCTATATATATATAATTTTTAGTTGGCCAATTAATTTCTTTCTATGTATAGTAGAGACGGGGGTCTCGCTCTTGCTCAGGCTGGTTTCGAACTCCTGACCTTGAGCAATCTGCCTGCCTTGGCCTCCCAGAGAGCTAGGATTACAGGCGTGAACCACCGTGCCGGCCAAGTGTATGGTATTAAATAGTGCTGTGGAATATGGTGGAAGCCAGATTGGTTATTGTATGCACCAGAGGTACCAGCCATGAAGTGTTAGCCTTTGGCATGTTAGATTTGCAAGAAGCATGCCTGGTTTAATACCTGGTTAATAAGAAATTCCAGAATGAGCTCAAGCTTAATTTCTAGCATTCTTGAAATTGTTTTCTCTAATTTATTGAAGAATTTGAAGCCAAATGATTTTATGTTTCTGATGAAGTATAAGTCCAAATGTTTACTGAATGATTGAAAATGGACTTAAAAGTCCACTGCAGGAGATATCCTTCTATGGTTAATGGTGTACTGAAAGAATACATTTTGACCATTTGTAATAATTTTAGGTCATTGACTTAATGTATGGCTAAATTTTCATGAGTGTCTCAACTGTAAATAGTCCAGAGTTAGGTAGCTGGGAGAGAATCGAACAGAGGTTTTCTGAAGCTTGATTTCTTTCCAGCCTCCACCCTGACTTCCATAAGTATTGCTTGTTTATATTCAAAGTAAGTTTCCATTCTCAAATACATTGTTTTGTGCTTCTGTGCCTTTGCATATGTATTCCTTCTCCCCAAAATACTGTTCTTCCTCCAAGTCACTTTCTAAAAACTTTATTAAGAAAATTTTTAAACATATGAAAGGAGTGAAATAGTATCAAAATCTCCCTTTTACTCATCACCCAGCTTCAACTAGTAACAGCATTTTGCCAATTCCAGATAATTTTTTCATGGTTTGCTCAAATGTTTTCATGGTGAAGCTTTCCTTCCTAGCCAGAGGGATCTGTTTTCCTCACTGTGCACGCACCTGGAAAAGTGTCTTCATATCTCTTGTATACACTAATTTATTAAATATTACTTATTACACATTAGTATTATCATCTTTTATATTTTTCTCCCCATAACAAGATGTCCTCCTTGAGAGAGGAGGGTGATATCTTACTTTGTAAAGTGTACATGGTGGCTAACTTCCTGGAGCATTTGAGGTGTTCATTAGACATTTATTGAATGAATTGTCCAAAAAATAGTAGGAATACTCAGTTTTAATTGCACACAACAGTAAACAACAAAAACTTACATATATATTTAAGAAAATTTAAGATAGTTTTGATCTTTATAAGATGCCAGTTCTCTGCTTAGTTTTGTGCATTGGGTGCCTTGTGGGTGCCTTCTGTGTGAACCCATTTAGGGATGCCCTGAACCAAACACTCTTTTGATTATGGTCTCAGCAGATAAAAGAGTCTCTTGGGATAGGTGCGGCTATGAAATGAGAAAACAAAGGGAAATTTCCCTCCCCAGGCTGAATGCTTCCATGGATCTAATACTGTTCCTTTGTAATAAGTAAAATCTAACACGTTTTCTTATTGTTGTTTACGTATATAAGATGTGTACAAGACTTTCAAAAACAATACAGACCACGTGGTTTGACCTGTTCGATTTACAGTACTACTCCCACATTGGGTGGTGTGTTCATTGCCCGTGCTCTTAACACATCTGCTGCAGTCTTTACCTCTTCCTGTTACTAGGTTTAGAAGTTAATCATTGTTTCCTTCTCTCCCCTCTCCTTTCTTTTCTTTTCAAGACAAGGTCTCACCATATTGCCCAGTCTGTCCTCAAACTCTGGAGCTCAGGTGATCCTCCCACCTCAGCTTTCCAAGTAGCTGGGATTATAGGTGTGTGCCACCTTGGCCTGCCACACTAGAAGAAAAAAATTTCCCTGGGGCCACGGTGTTTTATTAAAACAAAACAATCCTTTCTAATTTGTTATTTTTTATTGTTTCCTGTATATCAGTTATGTGCAACACAATCCACGTTTTTAGAATTAAGTTGTTAATATTGTAACAATAAGAGCATCAACAAGAAAGATTTTCAGGAATCAACTGCAGGGTTTTGCTTCACGAGGCCTAGGGCTCAAAACTAGTCTAAGTTAAATACAACTCACTCACGTGGTAGTCATTGTGTTAAATTACATTTTTTGTTAACTATCTTTACTGAATTCAGTGAAGTAAAAAAACGAATCAGGAATAAATATTTGGAAGCTTGTACATAGTTGGATATTTTCAGAGAAATTTTATATTGTAAGACTATTACGTTAATTTTATGTGTTTTTTGAAACATTAAACATGTACCTTAGTAGAATTGTCAACTGTAATCAGAAGTAAGTAACCAGAGCCTCTGTATGAGCTCAATGGTGAATCTCTTAAGATCACAAGGGTGGGTTTTCCAGTCTAATGCTTTAAAATATAAGTTGGGGTTCTAATGAAGTATAGTGGCCTAATGAAATATAACTCAATGAAGATTTGAGAAGCTGAGCTTTTGGTGAAGTAGCACTGAAATTTTACAATTTTTTGGTCCTTTTGATTAGACCTATGATTTATTTTGTTAATATTCAGGGGTATGACCTACTGTGAAATGAAATTCGAAGCGTCAGTAGTACTGGAGGAACATAATAGTGGATGAGTCTGTGACGTATCCATGCAAGAGAAGAAAAAAGATTTTTACAAATCCTACCTGTGATAAAAATACTTAAGAAGGGAAAATTGAAACTCCCTAAATATTTTTGGCATGTCATGTCCTTCACTTATTAATTGGGTCTGCATGTTTTTCTTGACAAACCAATTTCCATACACAGAACATAAAATGTTTCAGTAGATGTATCTGATTGTTCAGTAATTAACTTACGTAATTGTTTTAGCTCATACTTATTCACCACACACACTAGCCAGAACGCACTGCAGCAAAGTGGGCAACAAAAAATCAGCCTTCAGCTGGAGATCCACCTTGCAAATAGAATTGTCCCTTGCAAGTGTCCTCAAGAGTTGAAGAACAAAGTACTTTGCCTTTGGACAATGTAAGGAAAAAGGCATGCTGCTGAACATATTTATTTAAAGTATAAACATTTTGTAGCTTTAGATAATGGTTTCTTTCGAAAAGACCTCAAAGCAAGAGTCATGGGAAAGGGGTTTTAAGTAATCATGTACTGCTGAGAAGCAGGATGTCTTAAAAACCATATTTGTAAATCAGTTTTCCCCTCTCTCACGTCAGCAAACTTAACCCAAGTTATGTAGCATTACTGAACCTAAGTTCTCCCTTCTGCAAATGGGCTTTGGTAATATTTACTTCACAGGTTGTGAGGAATAAGTGAAGTAATATGTAAATATACATTCATATGATATATTCTCAATAAATATTGGTTGAGTCTTAATTTGCTACTGTGATACTGTTTAGATCACCTAACTAGAAGACGAGGTCTGCTTGTCTAGAGAATGTTTGTGAAATGACTTCATTTGTGTTTGTGTGTGTGAAATGACTTCAAATGATAAAAAGAAAATGCGTTTCCTGTGTGTTATTTATCATTCAGGGTGGAACAGGAGAGAAGTGCATGATAGAGTTTGTTTGTGTTGATTAGGATATAATAGCCCTTGGAAGTGTCAAATGTTCAGATTTACACAAAAGGGAGGAGGACAAATTCTGTGAACTTTAGATAGGGAAGGCTAACTCCAATCCTAGGTGAGATTAACAGGACTGTTTCTCAATACTTAAAGGCAGTGGTGCCTCTGGGGATACTGCAGGAATTGGCCAGCAACTATAGGCATAACTAATTTCCTTTATAATTGGACTTACAACTCTGGTAGACTAGGAAAATTCACCATATATTTTAATGGGATTTTGGCAAGATGTTTCTTTGGACCAGATAAATAATTTTATTCAAAAGTTGCTGATTAATGGGAAGGGGCAGCCTCTGGGAGCTTTGTCCTCTGCTTTGTATTCTTTTGTTAGTGACTTAGATGGAGATACTCATTACATGCTGATCATATTTTCAAATGCAGGAAGCTGAGAGAAATAGAAAATCTTGACAGGCAGGAATAAAATAAGATAAAATTCAATTACAAATATATTAATGCCTATGCTTGGGGCTCTGAATCCAGCTGTAGAAATATAGGTGATAGCTTAGCAGGATCAAGTGTGGAAAAGAACAAGGTGTTTTAGGGAGTTACTCTCATGTGACATTCAAAAAATTTATAAAGCCAGTGCAATTTCAGGTTGCATGAAATTTATTAGCTAGCATCTGAGAACTGAGGTCCCATTGTGTTCTGACCTGGCTGATCTTACCTCATTTTAATAATATTACATGTCCATCAAAGTGGAGTATGTGTAAAGAGGAGAGCAAGGGGGAAATAGGTAGCTGGAAAACATGCTAGTTAGAGGAATGGTTTGGGAATCTGAATGTTTATTCTAGGAAAGATAATATTTGGAGGCTACCATCAGATATTAGCGGAGAACTTACTTAGAAGTGGGAGCACATTATTTCAGAAGGTAAGTCTTTTAAGCATTGAGTCTAGCTCAGGAAGAAATAGTTCTCCATTACTGGCGGGGGAAGTGCTGTGGAGGGGTTTCAGGCATCTGATGGATAAATATATTAGATGAACTGTAGCTTATTCAAACCGTGAGTTGCTGAGATTGGTATGTGAATAAATATGTGACTCTGAACATGAACAATTTGTAATGATTCCTTAGTTTTAATTTTTGTGCCATTTTATTCTAGTGTTTTGGTTTAACACAAGGTCAGGCATCTTATCTCTGAACTGGTTAATATTAAGTTTATACTTTAACTTTATGAAATATTTATTTTAAAACTATTTTCATAGTGGTATTCACATATTGTTTTATCTCAGGTAGTCTCCTACTATTTTACATCTTTGTTATTTCAAGTAAAACAATTTTAAATAAGGGAAGATATCGAAAGATTGTGCTGGAGACTGCTTCCTGATGGTATTAATGTAATTGATAGAATGTTATCTTTTACAGGTGGTGAACCTATTGATGGCAATTTTGCTGACAGTGGAGGTGACTCATCCAAACTCCATGCCAGCTGTCAATATTCAGTATGAAGTCATTGGTAATTACTATTCATCTGAGAGAATAGCTGGTATGTTTTAGTTCAAAAGAAAATATCCCCTGCTAATTTTTGTATACAGTAATGCATTGCTTAACAATGAGGATATGCACCATTAGGCAATTTTATTGTTGTATGAACATCATAGAGCATACTTACACAAACCTAGATGGAATAGCCTACTGCACATGCAAGCTGTGTGGAATAGCCTATTGCTCCTAGGCTACAAACCTGTATAGCAGGTTACTGTTCTGAATAGTACAGGCAGTTGAACTATGGTGGTATTTGTGTATCTAAATATGTCTAAACATAGAAAGGGTACAGTATGAATAGATTATTATAATCTTGTGGGACCATCATCATATATGCAGTCCCTTATTGACTGGAATGTTACGCAGTGCGTGACTCTATGTACACATATGCACACACTAGCTATCTAGAGAAGGGTTGATTAAATTATGCTTAAGTTATATTTCCAAAGGTTAAGTTGCATAATAAGGTTACCATAAGTTAAATTATATTTAAGTAACTCCACTTGCTGAGGCAGAAAACTATTTTGATGGGTTTTTCAAAGATACTTAGTGAGGACTACAGTAGATAATTTCTAGTCAGAAAATGTAATAGACTACCAGGTTTCTGAGAAATGTGTAATGTGTACCTTAATGCTATCAGGTACCAGGAAAGAGAAAATGAACTGTAAACCTTGAGGCCATCTGACAGGTGTCATTGGGATGGGAGATTTGCTTGTGGAGCAAATAGACTATTATATAATAGTACAATATATAATACAAATTAATTGAATATTTGGTGATGTCTTTTGCTCAGTCCTAAGTCTGTATGTATTTCTGTGTAGAGGGAGGGAGATTTGACATTAGGTTAAAAAAGTAATACTGGAACATTCACAATAAATTACCTTTTTAAACCTATTCCCTGACAGCAGTATTTTTTTATCCTTTATCTTTAAATACAGTTACAGAAAAGTTTTAGTTGAGATTTTATATAAGTTATGTAAGATACTTTTAATATATTTGAACAGAAAATTATGCCTTAGGATTTTCAGTGCAAGCACTTTCTACATGTGTAATTTTAAATTTCACTTCAGAAAAATGTCCCCAGTTAATGTGTGTATATTATATATAATAGGTTTTTCATTCTCATGTTTTTAGATTTATTAGCTTTTATAATGAAGTTTTGAATCTCATTACATTAATGGCCTTCCATGATACATTTATAAAGGGGCGTTGGTTGTTAATTCAAACAATTCATTGTACACATTGTCCATAGGACTTTAACAGCTGCTAGTCACTTTTTCATATTTTTAAAATTTTACTTAAAGATGTAAAAATTTTAATTAACTTGCTGCTATCAGCTTATTCTCTTGTCATGTCTCTCCTAAAATCGAGGTCTAGAAAAAAGATTGATGGTTATCAAGATTCTTGCAAGTCTATTAAGCTGGCTCCTGTGGCTAGAGCTGTAGGGATGAAATCATGAGTTACTGCATATTGCATGAGTATTTTAAGTGCTGTAAGAAAATCAGATGTAGTCATTATTACATTTGTATTGCTTATAATTGTGCTGAAGCCTTTACTCTTGAGAGAATATAAAAATACATAGTTCTTAGTCATATGGTAGTTTGTGTTTCTTTGGAAGTTAAAATTTGACTTTCCCACAGACCCACAGGTCAATTTCTGATCATTGATCTGATAACCAATTTTAAATAATGTGGTTTGTGATTAGGTATTTTAAATCATTTAAACAGGATATAGCAGTCAGTATATATGAAACACTTGTGTAACATATATAAACCATTTTTCAAATATGGACTTAACTATTTACACTCACTTTGGGAATGCATAAACACCAGGGGGACCCCTAGAGGAGGTTCTTCAATGTAGTGGTGGGTGGAAACCTGAGGTTTCTATCTGCACATCTAGCCATTGTATTTTGTTTGCTTTATTGATGTCATTCCAGAAGTGGATTTTCAATCTGCCACTTCATTTTTCCTTCTCTTTTGCTGCTGTTTATTGTTCCAGGGGAAGACCTTGAACTTCACTTTATTGTTTTAATACTTTAAGAAATCAAAGTAAGCATGCAGTCTTCCATATATAGAATCTTAAAAGCTGGCTATTTGAATTACAAATTTGGCTTTCAAGTTTGACAGTGCCTATCCTGTTTAATTTATATCTGAATTATTTTAAGCAGCATTTCGCATGCTGGAGCAAATAGAGCTATTCTTACTAAGTTTAGTGCCAAATACTGATGTTTATATAGCCTAGTAATGAGATTATATATAAATTTATCCAATATTGTGAATATTCAGCAGTTACTCTAATTGTTCATCATGATTACACCTTCGGTTTCTTTACCCAGAGTCACAGAATCAACTACAGATTTGAGCTAAGAAACTCAACAAGTGAGGTGTGGTTTAGTATTTTTTTTTGGAGACAGAGTCTCACTCTGTTTCCCAGGCTAATTTTTTCTGTATATTTTTAGTTGTCCAGATAATTTCTGTTTTTAGTAGAGACGGGGTCTTGCTCTTGCTCAGGCTGGTCTCAACCTCCTGAGCTCGAGTGATCCTCCTGCCTTGGCTTCCCAGAGTGCTAGGATTACAGGCGTGAGCCACCATGCCTATCCTGTGGTTTAGTATTATTTGAGATTACTTGAATGTTTTTGAAGAAATTTGTGAACATGGATTAATGGAGAGTTGGAATAACCTGAGAAAGAGGAACAAAAAAGAAAATAGACCTGTGTGTAACAGAGAAGCCAAGGTGAAGGAAGCAGTGAGTTTTAATGTTTGGGATGTTATGGTGGGGAAGAGGGGCTAAATGGAGAAGTTTGAATTTCAGGTTGTATTTTATCTAAAGCAAGAGGTGGCACCTATGGCATTCTAAGTTTAATATGTCTGTCTTTTTTTTTTTTTTTTTTTGAGACAGAGTCTCACTTTGTTGTCCAGGCTAGAGTGAGTGCCGTGGCGTCAGCCTAGCTCACAGCAACCTCAAGCTCCTGGGCTCAAACAATCCTTCTGCCTCAGCCTCCCGAGTAGCTGGGACTACAGGCATGCGCCACCATGCCCAGCTAATTTTTCTATATGTATTAGTTGGCCAATTAATTTCTTTCTATTTATAGTAGAGACGGGGGTCTCACTCTTGCTCAGGCTGGTTTCGAACTCCTGACCTCGAGCAATCCTCCTGCCTTGGCCTCCCAGAGTGCTAGGATTACAGGCGTGAGCACCGTGCCCGGCCGCTACATCTGTCTTTTAAGCAAATACCAGCCTTCCCTTCCAGTTGAATCCTAGTCATCTCACAAGACCCAACTTGTGTCAGTCATTTCGTTTGTATTTTTTCCTACATCTCCAGGCAAAGCTAATTGTGCCTCTGTTGTGACACGCAACACATTGGATTATAATTACCTGTTTGCACATCTTCAGACTCTTGGACTCATAAGGGCTTAGGGACCTGTCTCTAGCAGAGTGCATGGTTCATGTGTCATCCTAAACAAATGTCATTGGATTATTATAGCAATTTAACAAATAAGAGCTTTGCATGCATTTCTTAAGGTTTATTACTTAATGCTGAAACTAAGGTATTTTTTTTCTCTAGACCTTAGATCTTTTTATAGCCAATTTTGAAAATATTTAAATATTTTTAAGCTAACTTTAAAACTTTTTTTTTTGTAAAGAGTTTTGTTCTTTTCGTTGTGTAAGTAGCTTAATTAGATTTTTGTTTTTGTTTTAGATAATGCCTGTGTTCTTTTTGCCGTCTCTGTTCTTATGTTTATAATCAGTTCAATGCTGGTATATGGAGCAATCTCTGTAAGTATCCTATATTTTCAACTTTTTGAGTTTGACCATTACTGAATGGTACTTAGTAATTTCAGATAATGATATAATGTTGTGGTTATTTTTTCTACAGTATCAAGTGGGTTGGCTGATTCCATTCTTCTGTTACCGGCTTTTTGACTTCGTTCTCAGTTGCCTGGTTGCTATCAGTTCTCTCACTTATTTGCCAAGAATCAAAGAATATCTGGATCAATTAGTAAGTGTGTGTGCACTAATTAAACTTTTTTCATTTTAAGTAAAATATTGAAGTTCCAAGTCAGCCTTAGGTACTATTTTTAATGACCTCACTTTTTAAAGTGTCTTAAAGTAATTATATCTGCTCTTTTAACTACAGTATCAGAACCTAAAGATGAAGAATATCATGGAACTAGTAGCTCAGTTTTTGTTTTTCAGTATAGCACAGGCATAATTATTTGAGTGCCTACTCTGTCTTTAGCACTGTGCTAGGCACTATTGGTGAGTGGTGTAGATAGATAGCTTGCCTGTCTTTAGGGAGCAAACAATATATTTAGGGAGTCAGGATATATGGAGACGTCTGTGATAACACACTTGAGCTGTCACACGGCAATAGTTAATAAGGAACTTAGATGGCTGCCATATAATGGAGGGGTCAGGGAACACTCTGGGCTGAAGTGGCCAAGGAAAGCTTCATGCAGGTGGTCTGGAAGGGAGGTATGGGGTCCAGAAAGCTGGAATGAACCTTCGTTCATTTCCAAAATACTATCTTTTAGAACTTTTTCTCTCTACCTCATATCCTGCCTAGTTTGTTTTGCACACCACCAAATTTATTGTTCATTTACTCAAAACGTGTTGGTTACTCTTATGTTCAGGGCACTCTGGTAGGTCAGAGATATGTCAGTGGAACTTAATTTCTAGTGAAGGAATCAGAAAATAGACTAAAATGCAATTGTGGGCTACTATGGGAGTGCATATCACATGGGTACTGGACCTCGGTTGGGAAGTGAGGTTTGGATTATACTCAGGATTTCGAATAAGAATTAAGAGAGGGAAACTGTGAGAAACAGCTTTCCAGGTAAGAGAGAGACCTGGAGACAGGAGCATGGTATAGTCAGGGAACTAACAGATGGCCATGGTGGCTGGCACACAGGGAGAGCCTGTTGGCTGGGGCAGTGATGGTTCAAAGCTTCTTAAACACTGCTTTCTACTCATGTCATTTCTTTTTTTTTTAGACAGAGTCTTACTCTTTCCCGGGCTAGAGTGCTGTGGCGTCAGCCTAGCTCACAGCAATCTCCAATTTCTGGGCTCAAGCAATCCTCCCGCCTCAGCTTCCCAAGTAGCTGGGACTACAGGCATGTGCCACCATGCCCAGCTAATTTTTTTAATATATTTTTAGTTGTCCAGATAATTTCTTTCTATTTTTAGTAGAGATGGGGTCCTACTCTTGCTCAGGCTGGTCTTGAACTCCTGACCTTGAGCCATCCCCCTGCCTCCGCCTCTCAGGGTGCTAGGATTACAGGCATGAGCCCCCTCGCCCAGCCTACTTATGTCATTTCTGGCTGAAAAATCACAAGTGCTTCCCTGCCTTCTGAATAAAATCCCTATCATAGCATACTCCCATGAGCTAGTCCCATTTCGTGTGTGTCCTTTTTTTTGCAAATGAAGACTAAAAAGTCTTTTTCTAAGGAGACATTTGGCTAGGATTTGGGGAGTGAGTGGTGTATGGCAGGTACTTTTTCTTTTTTTCTATTTTTTTTGTCTTTTGGGATTTCTATTTGTGCTGCTTTTTTTTATCAAAATGTACTTATGTAGGCCTTTGTCATTTCCACTAAAATAGATATAAGCTAAAAAAAACAATTAGATGAGCTTTATAGAAAAGAACAACAAAATGAATTTATTCCTTTTGCAGACCCCATTGTTTTATTCCTCTGTTTTATTCACTTAGTTCTTCAGATTGTAAGATACTTCCTGTGCTGGCCAGCTTTTTTTTTTTTTTTTTTTTTTTTTTTTGAGACAGAGTCTCACTCTGTTGCCCGGCTAGAATGCTGTGGCTTCAGCCTAGCTCACAGCAACCTCAAACTCCTGGGACTCAAGTGATCCTCCTGCCTCAGCCTCCCAAGTAGCTGGGACTACAGGCATGCGCCACCATGCCCGGCTAATTTTTTCTATATATATTAGTTGGCCAATTAATTTCTTTCTATTTTTAGTAGAGACGGGGTCTCGCTCTTGCTCAGGCTGGTTTTGAACTCCTGACTTTGAGCAATCCGCCTGCCTTGGCCTCCCAGAGTACTAGGATTACAGGCGTGAGCCACCACACCTGGCCTGGCCTGCTTTTAAATCCTAAATTTTTCATTTATAATGCTCTTCTCTCTGAACTTACTCATTGCCTTGTACACAGTCAGGGCTGAATAAATATTTAAATGAATACAGCTGATCCTAAACCTCATAATGTTGCAGTGCCTTCTTTTTGCCCCTGTCAAGAGTTGACCCCAGTGATTGGCTTTTAGAAAAGTAATTTTCCCCATGTAGGACTAAGTGGCCTATAGAGCTTAGAACTCAGCACCTCCTGACTTAACTGACTCCGTGACCCAGGAACAAACCTGGGGTCCCTTACTGGAGATAATGTTTTTCCAAAGACCAGAAAGATGGAAAATAGTAAAAAGTAAAGAGAAAATGAGCTCAGTTTAGACTCTGAGGAGTATTGTGGGTTTTCAAACAAGTATATTTTAAGTGATTATAGCGTGTATTAATAGTGATGAGGCTTAAAAGCACTTTGAATTCTATTTTATACATTTTTATTAGAATATCACTTCTGACTTTGGTGCCCTTTGTTTGTATTCTTAAAATGCTCTCTAGGTTATTACCAAGTGCAAATGCGGCAGCTGAGTTGTAAATGTGTGTGTTTTTTTAATAGCCCGATTTTCCCTACAAAGATGACCTCCTGGCATTGGACTCCAGCTGCCTCCTGTTCATTGTTCTTGTGTTCTTTGCCTTATTCATCATTTTTAAGGTATGTTGCTGACTAAATCTTTAGGGACTAGTAGGAGTGACACTGTCCATAAGGCAAACTAGATTGAGGACTTTTGGTGACAGTATTTATTCTGGTACATCAGTGGAGAGAGCATCTAGAGAATGTCCTTAGTCTTGTTTCCAAGGAATGGTTGGAAGTGTCGGGATCCTTCCCTAAGTATAAGGAACATCTTTATGTTTTTGCAAGTGGTTCATAATTTGTATTGAAATCTGTTTTAATTTGGAATGTTCAGAAACCCAGAAGAATTGAAACCCCAATTCTGGTTTCTCTGTAAAATGTTGGTAATAAAATTTGTGACATTTAAATGAGAATGGATAGGGAAAGGGCCTGGACTGTTAGGTCCACATAGGGTCACTTCCCTTATCCACAGACAGGATGTGGGCATGCTGTGTAAGCCACTGCATTTTAGAGCAGTCTGTCTGTTGAGTTTCTGGCAGATGTAAATTTTGTTTGTATTCTTTCAGGCTTATCTGATTAACTGTGTTTGGAACTGCTATAAATACATCAACAACAGAAATGTGCCAGAGATTGCTGTGTACCCTGCCTTTGAAGCACCTCCTCAGGTTAGCTACTGTTTAATCCAGTAAAGTGTCACTAGCCATTATTGATTGTTCCAAGAGAAGAACTTGGAGCTTGACTTTATCTTCTGTGCTGTAACTGTGGTATGGGACACGAACAGCTTAAATCCACAGGATTCAGCATTTCCTAGTTGAAATCCTGAATACATGAGGCTATAGGCACTCTGCACTACTTGATCTCATCCAGCTTGGTTGTTAGGTTTATTAGTGGTTCTCACAAGTGTTGTGTCTGTGGGGGAGATAAGACAGAATACAGCTATGCTAGGCTCATGTAGCTTCTGGGGCTTTGGGGGGTTGGAGGAGAGTGCCATTGACTGAAACTCGTGATGTTTTTTAAAAGCATCTATATGATCCATATGGGGAGCTGAGCTGTCTAGGGGAGATGAATGCAGTGGGTTCTGTGAGTCTGTTGGGGAGGCCTACCTCCTGGAGCCCTCAAATTTTTGCTGTAGGCTAGAGTGCCACTCCACCACATTGGTGTGCCTGTTACCCTACAGGCACATGATACAAGTTCATGACTACAAGCAGATTCAGATGAAATTCAGGATCCAGCATCTCATTGGAGGCTTCCGATAGCAAATATTTAACCCCTGAGATGTAATTGGCACTAGTACTTTATCAGTCACATTGGAATGACAGGAGAGCAGTGGCACATACTGCCTGTCAGAGAATCCTTGTAGCCTCGGGGTTTGTCCAGAAGCAGAATTCTGCCTGCTTGTTCCCTCTCTCCCAGCCATCTCATCCATCTCTAGCAATCTGGGTAAAGTTCCAGGTTATTCAGGCATCTACTCTCAGGAACTTTTTAACTAACAGTTTATTTGGTTCTTCTTTATAGATTTGTATATCCCTATTTAGGGCATAAAATATGAAATTTGAATTATTCCCAAAAGTATTTAAAAAGAGAATTAAGTCTAATACTTTTTCTTTCTTCAGTATGTTTTGCCAACCTATGAAATGGCTGTGAAGATGCCTGAAAAAGAACCACCGCCTCCTTATCTACCTGCCTGAAGAAATTCTGCCTTTGACAATAAATGCTATACCAGCTTTTTGTCTTGTTTATTTTACGGAATGCTGCAGTACAGGGCTCTTCAGACTTTGATATAAAATACATTGTCTTTTGTTTAAGCATTCATTTTCAAACACTAAGGAACTTTTTTGACATCTACTAAGTCTTTTTTGTTGTTTTATATTTTATTAGTTTTTGAAGACAATCTAGGTTAAGCGAGAGCAAAGCACCATTGTTTGCCTTTAATTGGGGGTGGGAAGGGAAACGAGGGTATTCTCCACGTTTTCTTTTTTAACTTTGCACTTTCTTTATATAATAGTGTGCTCTGGATACTTTCAGGAAGAATGAATTAAATGTTCAGGGTGAGTGAGTTGCATATAAGATCTGAAGTTTTCAACTATGGAAACAGGAAAAATGTATGACGTTTTGACTGTGGATGAAATGGTTGCATGTTTCTAACATGTATGTTTCCATCTTTGTGGTAAAACGCTTTAATAAATCCCTTAAACAGTAAACTCTTGTCATTTTTTTAATTTATTACTTTTTTCTTTAAGATAAAGCCTAATGTTTTCCATTATAGTATATTGAGACTGCCAGGGTTTTTTGTTAATAGTAAGAATACAGTCACCCCTCTGTATCCATGTGTTTTGTATCCATGGATTCAACCAACCATGAATTGAACATAATCAGGAAAAAAAACTGGATGGTTACGTCTATACTGAACATGTACAGACTTTTTTTTCTCATTAATATTCCCTAAACAGTACTGTAAAACTGTTTACATAGCATTTACGTTGTGTTAGATATTATAAGTAATCAAGAGGTGATTTAAAGTATATGGGAGGATATGTGTAAGCTCTGTCTATACACCATTTTATATAAGGGACTGGAGTTTCCCCCACAGAACAAGACGATGACTGTACATTGCTAGACTTTTAATTAGAAATCATTTCTTTAATTCAGTAATTCATATTTAAAGTTATGGTGAAGATATTAATATATCAGAAATTTATATTGGTGATTTGATAGAACAATTATATGATTAGTGCAGCAAGCTATGTTTATGTGTTGTGATTATTTGGTTAGGCACAGAACTCATCAAGAATAATTCAAATTAAAATGCATCATTGACTACAAGAGGGGAACCAAATAAGTCTAGGGATCTAGTGAATAAGTCTAGAGATCTTATGTACAGCATAGGTCTATAGTTAATATACTGAAAATTTGCTAAGAGGAGATTTTGGTTGCTCTTACCAAAAAAAGTATGGAAGGTAATGGGTAGGTTAATTTCTTTAACTGTGTTAATCATTTCTCTGTGGATATGTATATCAGAACAGCATGTTGTATACCTTAAATATGTACAATTTTAAAGGGGGGGGGACCAAAAAGGAAGCAGAAGCAAACTGCAGTTTTATAGGCACAACAATTTAAATTTTGTCTTGAACATATTCCACCTTGCATCTTGCTAAGAATAGCAGTGGTGGCTTTGTACACACCATGTGGGCACATGGGTGTACTTAACACATCTTTCAAAGGCAGAGCAGAATTGTTTGGCTGCAAACTCACTTTTGTGAATACCTAAAACCACCACCATCTCTGAATGAAAAAGTGTAAGCTTTATATTTAGAAAAGGAGTATAATATCTAGGATTACACTTACAATAGTGGAAGATGTTTTACTGATCTATGTTTTTATTTCAGAATTCTTCTGTGGGCTAGGTCTCTGTTTCTTTATAAAAACCAAAAAGGAAGTTTCCTAATCCATCAAGTTTTCTTTGTTATTATTGATTTAATTCTATGTTGAACCATGCTGAGCAATATTTAGGTACTAACCAAGCTACTATTAGTCTTTTGCTACTCTTGTGATTTTGTGAAATGTTTGAACACATCGGGACCCTAACCTGGCGGGGCTCAAAGGAGTTTGCCCACACCCAAGGACAAGCTCACAGGCCTGATGCTTGGCCGTCAGGGTCTCTAATCACTACTTCATTTGAAGCAGGTTTGTCTTTTGGAAAAAGACACAAGTCATAGACTTAAAATAGAGCAGTCACAATGTGTTAATCATTTCTTCCAAGGAAGGGGAAAAGTTTATGTCTGTTAGGGTGTCATTTTTTCAGTAGAGGGAAATCTGTTTTCAGGACAGTTAATATCCTATAAAATATACTGAAGTATTTACCCTAAAGAGTTAATTTTTCCCTCTGCTAGGGCTAGAGAAAAATTTTAGTAGATTATTTTGTATATTTGAGTCTCAAATCGGAAGATAAGTGTTTAAATGTTTGGCCTTGTTTTTAAAATATGAAGCAACTTCACCTTGAGTGAGTAGCTCCTAAATTTCACCATTCTTACTCCTCCTGAGATATACAAGTATACAATACTCCTCCTGAGATATTGATGCCCTCTTAAGTCACACAGTCTTGTTACCCTTTCTAATTTCTGTTTTGGCTTTTAGCTTTCAACATTGCTGACTACCCAACCTTAAAAATCACTGTTCTCTACAGATTCAATGCAGTCTCTATCAAAATCCCAGTGGCATTTTGTTTTTAGCAGAAATAGAAAAAATCCTAAAATTTATACAGAACTGTTAAAGACCTTGAATGGCCAAGTCAGTCTTGAGAACAAAGGTAGAGGCATCACACTTCCTGATTTCAGTATGTATTACAAAGCTACAGTAACAAAACTGTATAGTACTGGTGTAAAGACAGACATACAGACCAATCGAACAGAATAGAGAGCCCAGAAGTAAATCCACACATCTGTGATCAGCTGATCTTTGGCAAGGGTGCCAAAAATACACCATGTGGAAATGACAGTCTCTTCAAGAAATAGTATTGGGAAAACTATATCCATGTGCAAAAGTGTGAAATTGGACCCTTAGACTTCACTCAAGTTGGATTACTTAAACATAAGACCTGAAGCTTCAAAATTCCTAGAAGAAAACAGGAGAAAAGCTTCATGACATTGGTCTTGGCAGTGGTTCTGTGGATGTGACATCAAAAGCACTGGCAACAAAAAATTGGGATTGCATCAAACTAACATGCTGCATAGCAAAGGAAACCACAGAATAAACAGGCAACCACTGGCTGGGTGTGGTGGTATGCACCAGTAGTCCTAGCTACTTGGGAGGATGGGTTGAGCCCAGGAGTTTGTAGCCAGCCTGGGCAACATAGCAAGACCTTGTCTCTTTTAAAAAAAAAAAAAGGCAACCTAGAGAATAGAAAATATTTGCAAACCATGTATCTAAGGGGTTGATCTCCAAAATATGTAAGGAACTCCTAAAACTCAATAGCAATAAAACTAATACCCAATTAAGAAATGGGCTAGGCTTGGGCTTGGATAAACATTTCTCCAGGGAAGGCATACAAATGGCCAATAGGTACATGAAAAAATGTTCAATGTCACTAGTCATCAGGGAAGTGCAAATCAAAATTACAATGAGATATCACGTTACACCTGCAAAGGTGGTTTTTAAAACCTTGGCGAGGATGTGGACAAGTTGGAATCCTTGCACACTGTTGGTGGGAATACAAAATGATGCAGCCCCTATGGAAACAGTTTGGAAGTTCTTCAAAAAAATTAAAGATGGAACTGGCACATGATTCAGCAATCCTGCTTCTGGGTATTTATGTAAAAGAAATCAATATTCCAAAGAGATGTTAGCATTCCCATGTTCATTACAGCATTATTTACAATAGCCACGATGTGGAAACAATCTCAATGTCCATTATTAAGGAAAATATGGTACGGCAGTCCCCCTAACCATGGGGGATAGAGCCCCAATAAATGACTGAATTAGCAGTATCAAACCCTATATATACTGTTTTTTTCCCATGCATACATACCTATGATAAAGTTTATAAATTAGGTACAGTAAAATATTAATAAATAGAACAATTATAACAATACACTAATAAAAGTTATGTCATGGTCTCTCAAAATATCTTACTGTATGCATTCACCTTGTGATGATGTGAAATGATAAAATGCCTACGTGATGAAATGGAGTGAGGTGAACGACGTAGGCATTGTGACACAGTGTTTAAAACTTATCGTTTACTTCTGAAATTTTCCATGGAATATTTTCAGACCACAGTTGACTGTAGGTAACAAACCTTGGGCAGTGCAATTGCGGATGAGGGGGGTCTTCTGTTCATACACACAAGGGAATACAGCAACATGCGGTAACGGATAAACCTTGGGGACATCATGGCTGAGTGAAATAAGCCAGTCACAGAAAGACAAATACTGCGTGGTGCCACTTATGTAAGGCATCTAAAATAGTCTAACTCATCGAGTGGAACAGTGGATGGCGGTTGCAGGGGCTGGAGGGAGGGGGAAGTAGGGAGCCGCTAATCAGCAGGAATAAAGTTGCTGTTAAACAAGATGAACGAGCTTCAGAGATCTGCTGTGCAGCATTGCACCTGCCGTCAACAGCAATTACACTTAACATTTGTGATGAGGAGAGATGTCATGGGAAATGTTCTTAGGACAATAAAATAAAGTTTAAAAAACTGAAAACAACCTTCTCTTGGCTTTCAGAAACATTTTATTGGGGCTTGGCTATCTTTTTCATCTACTCCTTCTTCACCTCTCTCCTCTGGTCCACACCACCCTGAGTCCTGGCTTTGGCCTCCTTGCTTTATTTACTTCCTCAGCTTTTACTTACCCCTCCATATGTGGCTTCAAACTCTCTATAAAGTTCCAGGTGTTCTCCAAGGCCTGCCAAACAACTCATCTCGAGAGCCCTGTGAGGCCCGTGTTCCCCAAATGGAGCTCGCCAACCTGCACTTCTCCCTGGCACCACCGGCACCACTGGCACATCTGATGTCATGGGAGGAGTGTGGCCTGAGGAGTTAACTGTTGTGTTCAATATCCAACTCAGATTTGTGTATAATCTTGAGCAAACATTTAATTCAATTGAACCAAAATAGTTTGAGCCTGTACTTTGCTTCAGGTACAGGGGATGTAGCGATGGACAAAACAGTGAAAAAAAAAAAAAGATATTCTCAGTCTTGTTTTATTGGGAGAAGACATGGTTTAAAATAAACTATATAGTAAGTTAGTGATATACCTATGGAGAAAATTTAAAACAAGGGGGATAGGGATTGGTTGGGGGGAGTGCAATTTTTTAAGCAATTATCAGAAAAGAAGGTGACAAAAGACCTGAAGGAGATGAGGGAGGGATGCCCCAGGAAGAGGGAGCCTGCAGGAGTGTGCTGGGTGCGTCAGAGAATAACAGGCTGAGGGTGGGAGATGAGCTTAGAGAGGCATTTGGTTGGTCTTCATATGTCTCTGGAGTGATTGTCTTTTACCCTTAGTGGGATGGAAAACTATTGGAGGGTCCCCAACAGATGAGAATCCTGAAATGACTTATGGTACAACTTCTCTAAATCTGTTTTCTCATCTGGAAAAAGGGTCTACAACTCCACAGAGTTGCAAATACTCAATGCTATAATTCATGTGCAGCCCCTAGTATAGTGCCTAGAGCATGACAATAAATATTATAAGGCAG